GCCACATCAGGCTGCTTTGGCAGAAGTGGGAAGCTCCATAGTCTAGTCCTGTTACTACTCAGGAACCACTTACAGCAGGAGGCAAAGCTTTTCCCTAGGAGTCTGTGCTAGCAACAGAAAAATAAACCCAAGCAGCAAACCAAACGCCCGACCCATTCCTTAGCATGCAATGCTTCCCACAACTGGCAGCACCAGTCCTGATACAAACAAGAACAGAAAACAGCAAGAGTATGGCCAAGCATCTCCACAAAAACTCCTTCCACTTACAGAGCTTAACCTTAAGACTGTCAAGGATATCCTTGGGATACTGCAAGCATCCCAGATACAGGAGTTGGCATCCAGCCCCTTGTAGGTAGTGGCTTGTGTCTCTATACCTTCCCCTGGTACAGCTCATCCTCCTCCCTAAACCCCTAAAATGGAGATACTCCTCTGAAGAGCTCTGCAGGTCTTCAGAGCACACAGGGCCCAAACCACGCAGCAGACTGGATAGTCCAGTGCAAAGAGTTCGCAAACATGTAGCTGGAGAATACGCCTATATCCATTAGTCTCAAGGGGAAATACCACGCCTGAGGTTGTGCCCTCCAGAACCTGCTCCACTCTCACACCTCCAAGCCAAGACAAGCAAAGGAGCACTCTTGAGCCCGGCTAGGATTAGCTTTCAGCGCTCCATCTTGAAGGATTTTGCAATAGTTAAACACATACTGCCTGTTCAGCCTTCTCTGGAAGTCCTCCTCACAGCAGCGACTATGGCTACAGCTCAGGCTCAGAGCTGGCAACCCCCTCTGCTTCCACCAAAGCACAAGTCCAGGAGCACTGGCAGGTCTCTTCTGCAGGCTCCAGCAGTGACCTGACACACTGTATGAAACACCAGGGTGTAACCAGTGACCCACAACAGCCGTTCTCAGCTGGTCCTGCCTGCTACAGTGCACAGCCCCAATCCAGAAGGAGACACCTTTTCATTAGTGCAGCTAGTGGATGAACAAGTCAAAACAGAAGTGTGATCCAGCTGACAGGTCATTTAAAGTCATCAGGAGTCAAACATTGCTTCCCAATGCCTGGTAAGACACCCCGTCTCCCTTTAAGAGTTTCTAGGGATGTTTCTAGATCAGAAACAAACGAGAAAGGCAATTCAGTTCCCTGCAGTAGGCACACAGTGCCACAGAGCAAATGATTTAAAGGCTTCATGTTAAATCACTGTGGTAGATCTGGAACACAGACCCAAGAAACATTGCAGACAAAGACGCACAGCAAGGTGAATCTCAGTTCTGAGTACAGTCCATCATATCCCAGCTCAGCTAAACCCTCAGCCAAGAACCCACGTCCAAGCTTGAAGATGCTTCCTCAGCACACTCTCAGGTCTCAAGCTGACCACAGTCAGCCTCCAGCCACCTTTAGCGCTCCAAACAAAACCCAAAGTGAGAAAGGAGTGCCAGGCTTGATTGGAAATCAGGACAAGGAGTTTCCTCTCCCTCAGAGTAGCAGAAAGACAACCAGAACCACCATGGTAGAGAGCTCTTATCTGCTGGCTCTCCTGCCTGCTATGTTTCAGCTGCCAGCTGCTCGATGCAGAGCTCCCATCAGCCCCAGGCAAACCCCACAGCTGCAGCCTGCTGTTTACCTGCAAGAGGTCCTGCTCCAGAGACACACGCACAACCTGCAGCAGCTCAGTCAGTGGAACAACGTACACTTGTGCAGCAAAAGCTACCAACGATGTCCAACTGGAAAAGAAGGCACCTCCACAGCCCCGAGGCAGACACGCCTGCAGGAAACCTACAAATAATGAAATCCCAGGGCCAGGCAGAACCCACAGCATCACAACAGCGCTGGCACAGGATTAGGATATCCTGATCCTTAGGGAAGTCATTACACACAGCTCGGCTGCCGGTATGGCCAAGATACGCATCAGCTCCTGGGGACACTCTGGAGCAGACAAGGCTCATCCACCTCACCTGCAATTCAGCCTTTGCTTTTAACATCTTTTGCAGAAATCCCACAGGGACAGTGCCATGCCGATGCCCAAAGGGGTTCTCAGCACTATAGCTACAACCAAGAGGGCCTTGAATCCCAAGACAAGAAGCAAGATACTGTTAAAATGGTGTCAGTCTCAACATAATGAAGCCAAGATGGCTCCATACTTCGATGAAAAGCAACTCTAAGTAATTTTTTTCCCTGGTATGATTTGCTTTCCAGTCTGAAGTCAGCTACACCAATATGAAGGGCAATATTGGTGTAACTGTTCCTACCAAGCTACACTGCTAACAGCACAACAAGCTCACACACACACAACTGACCCCAAACAGGCTTAAGCTAGGCTGTATCAGCTCTCTCACCATCAGCAAAGCTGAACTTTAGCAGCTCTCCCAGGGCTTACTCTGTGTGGAAAGGGTCTTGAACACACCTGGCTGGAATCAAGACTGGAAGGGGTTTTGATGATACTATTTTACATGGGAGCATTGACTTTGGAACAAGATTGATTTTGCCAAAACTCTTGTTTTTAAAGTAGCTTCCCTGTCAAGGCACCTAGTTTTTGGAACAAAACATTCTGAAGCTATTATCCAAGAAGTTTTGGAAACAAGCAATATCACAGCTGCCTGATTCAGCACGTTATCAAAGCAGAATTAAGGTTTTAATTGGTTTAGGGAGACTGATCCAGTCGAGACAAACTGCGGCAAAGCAACAGGATCCTCAAACTCCTCACAAAACACATCTCCCACCCTTTGCACAGCTCTCACCTATGCTCCAGCTGCCAGCACACATGGTTAGCCCAGCACCAAAGCAGACCCAACGAGCATTAATTGGTTTTAGCTGGGGAATACTGAAGGGTAAAAAAAGAACTTGTTTTTCAGAAGGCTCGTCTCTCGCTTCTGCACATACAGCACGGAGTTTGGGACTAAGTCTCTCGGGGTCACCAACAGGAGTCAGCTTTGCTACATGGAGCTTGCAGTCACGTGGCTGAAGAGTGAAATAACTGCCCCGTTCACTTCGCATGCTACAAAAGACAGAGTTTAGAAGCTCTAACCAAGACCATGGGTTCCTGGTCACACAAAGCACACCCCACGATCACAAACCAGAGCTCAGCACCTCCAGCTCAGCTCCCCCCCCTCCAATAACCTGGGATGAGAGCAACCACAGGCACCGATCGCTGCTTGGACTGGGACCACAGGGCTTCCTCCCTGCCAGTGGCCGTGGTCAGTC